TTTAAATTGATATCTACTTTTTTTGGCTATGTTCTACTCATTCTTTGAATCATTCTTTAATTGCTTCCTTTATGTTCATCTTCTATTTCTCTTATTCTAGTTTTAGAAATAGATATCTCTTTAAGGAAAAGGTTTTTTATTGAAAAATAGTGTTCAAACATTTTGACTGGCTCGTGGGACAGTGAGGATAATTTCTTCAAGATTAGGTAAAATTAGCAGTTTATCTCTCAGTGAGTAAAATTAGCAGATTTTTGCATTTTTTCTCACTGTCTTTGTTAACTCTTTTACCAGAAAAATACATATCACCTTTGTTTCTATGAAAGAAACAATTTTACACTGTCTTCAATTCCATTCAATAAGAGTTTTTTTTTAAATATTCTTCTCTAAAATCACTCACTTCTTTCAATCAGAATAAATATCTTGGTTCTGATTATCATTATTGAATTTATATGTTTGATCAGCTTTACTGTTCTATACCAGTCTCTAGTCCTCCTCCTCAACCACAGTGCCCTCCCAGAAACATCCAGACACTCAGAGCCAGGATGACAGTCATTTCTGTGCCCTTCCTAATGCCTGTGTTCGAGCCCTATGGATGTAATCCTCACCAGCTTGAAAGCCTTCCTCATCCTCTCCCTCTTGGATCTATGAGCTGAGCTCACTGCTCCAGCTCTCCCAGGAGAAGACTGCAACTCAGTTTGCTCTAGCTCTTCGTGATGGGTTTCACATCCACTTTCCTACTTCCTATTCTCATCATCCTGCTTGAGCTGCACTGGCCTAAATCAAGTCATTAAAAACTGTGTTGTCCTTGAAGCTGGTAGACATTTGGTGATCGTGAACATTTCAGAATAGAGAAAGCCACATACAAGTATAACAATGAACACTTGGTAGAGAGAGGATACACAGTAGAAGCAATAACCTGAATCATCCAAAAATTATCAAGCAAAGATGTACTCACTCTCTAGCTCAGGTATGAAGACCACATTCCTAAGATCATATGGGGAAATATCTCCTACACTGACCCATTAAGAGATTAAAATCAAATGTACTTTAGGAGTGCTGAATTGATGTACTCATTTGATCCCCAGAATATAACATACTTCCTGCTGTCAAACCTATATGGCCTTGCTGACTGCCAGATTCCAAGGGAAATGAATCCTTGGGTGAGTGAGATAATCCAGACTTCCCTCATGCACACTCCTGCTCAGCCAGTGGGAATTGGCATGTGCCGGCGAACCACTGAGGAGACTCCATAGACTGCTCATACCTTGTGTAGCAGTCAGTACCCATCCGGACACAAGCATGGCCATGTGGGTCCTTGCTCAGCTACAAGGTCTCCTGTGCTCTGGCCCCCAAGGAAAAAGGGAAAACACTTGCATTTTACTCAGCCCAGGGAGTTAAATGTTGCTTAGCCCTTTAGGAAAGTCCTCTTTCATTATAATAAATGGTGTATATTTGCTCTTATATTTCCCATACCAAGAGCCACATATAGCATCCTGATGACCTAGACTTCATTCTCCAGCTCTGCTTCTCAAGGAGACAAAGCCATCCTCACTTGCCAGGAAGTCAAGCACATGCAACAGTCTTCATTTATGTATAAAATGGTATGTGATAAATAACATCTTACAAAGTTACCTCACTTCAACTATTTAGTGGTGAATAAGAAGTTAATTGACTTTTCTCTAACCAATATATTTTACATCAGATCATAGTCTCCGAACAACCTTTGGTACATTTGTTACTGCACTTCACCGAGAACCTAGGATCAGAGTTTACCACAGTTACTTCAATAACAAGTGGTTAAGAGTGCTGGGGTCTAGATTTAAACTCAGGTCTTCATTCCTCAAATATATTTCTTCCATGAGACCATTTTATTTCTGAGATGAGTACAAGGCCAGTAAAATATAAGGCAGAGCAAAACAGGACGATAAGGTGAAATTCGTAGCTTTGTGTGATCTCTGCCTCTCACAGTCCAGATCCTGAACTTAAACTCAGTCTCTCCTGCTGATATTTTTAAACCAAAGCCTATCTCCAAGCTTCTTTCAAGCCTTCACGTGTGCAACTGAGCCTTTCCATACTAATGGGCAAGGATGCATATTGCATGAACCTCTTCTTCAGTGATTCTTCTCTCCCTTCCCAGTAACCTGACTCAAAATTGCCCTCTCCTATTCTAGTTGCATGAGTAATTGGAATTTTAACTACAGAAATGAGAGAGGATTAATTGCTAATGGCACTAAAGTTCTATGTGAGCAGCTTCCAAAACACTCACATATCCAACTAAGGTAGAGGGCAGCAAGCAGCCTTAAGGAAGACGGATTTGAAACTGGAGTCTTCCATATCCACCCAGCTTGCCTGCTATACAGAAAGCCAGGTTTGAAAGTAACAGCATCTGAACTTTCAGAAGCAGGGAGCACAGCTCAGGGAAACATCCAGGTGATCCGTGGTAGTACTTTTTCTTAAATTGCACATGGCTGATCTCAGAGACCTAGATACATTGAAGTTTTGGATGCAGATACCAAAATGTCATTTATAATTGACTGGACTTGGGAGGGAGGACTTAGTTTGCATGGGCAAGTGTGTGCTTCCCTCATCTGACCAAGGAACTCAGAGAACTTGGTTTTGCAGCTTTGCCCAGCCCTATTCAATTCCTGCTGATTTGTGTGTCCCCAGTGCACAACCCAATGCCCAGAAGACATTTTAGAAGGCTGCTCACATCCTGTACAAGATTCAGGCCTTATCAGCACACAACATGGACATGAGAGTCCCCACTCAGTTCCTGGGGCTCCTGCTGCTCTGGCTGCCAGAAAAAGATGGTGGCCCTGGGAACTTGCTCAGCAGCATTGCGATCAATGTTGCTCTATAGGGAAGTACACTTGCCATGTGATTTATTGTGTGGATATTTGCTTTTGGGAATCCAATGCCAGGTGCCAGATGTGACATCCAGGTGACCCAGTCTCTGACTTTATTTTTTGAAGTAACAGGAGACATAGTCACCATCACTTGAATCACCAGTGAGGACAATAACTATAGCATACATTGATATCAATAGAAACCAGAGGAAACTCTCAAACTGCTAATCTTTGGTGCCGAAATTTTGGAATCCATGATCGCTTCAAGGTTCACTGGCAGTGAGTCTGGGACAGATTTCATTCTCCCCACAGCAGCCTGGAGCCTGAAGATGTTGCAGCTTATTACTGTCAACACGGTAGCAGTATCTCTCCATTTACCCAGTGACACACGCCTTGATGTGATCCAACTGGGAAAGCTGAAGTGTGAAGTCTGGCTACTCAGGTCCTTCTCCGGGTGCTTCCACCTGTGAGAATATTTTAAGGTACAGTCAAGGTTTTCTGAGGACAAAGGAGTCTTGGTAAGAGTCAAGGAGGCTCTTCTCTATCCTAACTTCTTTGTTCACTCTAGTAGCACAGTCATGACAATGCCTCTACTTACTTCAGTAACAGCAGAACTTATTACATCTGAGACCCCTGGATTTCCCTGTCACGTGTGATTTATGCAGTCACACAGAGGCTAGTGTAAGTAGAATAAGAAGGGGTAGTTTTAATACAGGGAATTTTAAGGTAAACTACACCAATTGAAAGGCTCGGGAAAGCCAGAGAAGTTGATACCAGAAATAGTTATTCTGGTGCTTCCTCAGAGCACTTAGGCTGTAGGATGCTGATTCTAAATGCCATGGAGCTCAGACCTGACCTGGAAGCTCTGATTTAAGTGCTAATGCTTGAAGCAGCCCACAGTACTTTACTGATCATTCTCTATTAGCTTCCTCTCTCCATACATCTGACTCCAAATTGATTTTGAATCACTTTTGACTTCTAAACTTCATAAGAATGAAAGTATGTGAACAGTTTCTTGGGAAAATTACAAGAAAGAAATTTTAGAGAAATTAGAACATAGCTTCCAAGTCAGAGAGACAATACATAGACTTCCCATTGTACTCTGATAATTAATCATTATTACATTCACTTTCCAGGGCACCAATTGTTTAACAGAGTTTCAGGAGAACAGACTTCTCGCTAAGCTAAAGTGAAGATGTCATGATGACTATGTTGATTTAAGAGGTTCACAGGGATATCTTCTGATTCCCTGCTTTTCCAGATCTGCATTTTGTGCTTCATGATCCTTTCCCCTCCTCAGTCCAACATTCACTTTCATTATCAAATTGCATCTCTGTGTGCCTCTTGCTCCCTCTAGGGGGTATATTGCATTTATATTGGTCTCCTCCAAATTATTCAGGATCCTTTTCCAAGCTTGAAATCCTTAACTCAAGTATATCTTCCAAGTTTCCTGTACTGGATAACGTACTGCTTATAGGATCCAAGGATTTACAATAAAATTCTAAAGAAAACTTTTACAAGTAAGGTATGTTTAATCACCTACACGTCTCCTTTTACCCAGACCATTAGTCAAATTCTGCTGCTGGCACAAGATTATGACAACTATGACTTAAAGTGTGACAGTATTATGGCTCACAGTTTTAGTTGGCTGGCTGAGAGGCAGAAGCAATATTGCAAAAGGACATAGTAAAGAAAAGTCACTCATCACATGGCAGCTAGGAAGCAAAGAGAAGGAAAAACTCTGGCATAAGAATTTCCCTTTGAGGTCATGGACCCAGTGACCCACTTGCCACCAGCCTCCAACTCCTGGCTACTGAACTTAGCAATGGATGAATGCACTGATTATTAAAGCTACCGGGAGATCACATCAGTTTCCAAATTCCAACCAGTGTATATATGAATTTTTGGAGGAAGTTCTAGATTTAAAACAAATCACAAAGAAAACCACCATTTCCAAAAGCAACATCAGCAACAATAAACCTTCAATAGTCAGGGTCATGAGAATAGGATGCTGGAAGTGTTGATAGCCAGATTCATTCAGCCTGAAGGTTCCCTAGGTAGACACTGCACTAACTGCAAGGAGTAAATAGTGGAAAAAGGAGGAAAGTTGTCGATGTCCGCTCCCGGCCGGCAGGAAAGACACACGACAAGGTCTGGCGGTGGTCAGGCTTTTCTTTATTCTCTCCTTATACAGTCTGCCCCGAAGCCTCTACCGGTCCGCTCTCCGCGGCTCCTTCCGTGCTTCAGTCTGCCCCGAAGCCTCTACCGGTCCGCTCCCCGCGGCTCCTTTTGTGCTTCAGTCTCTCTCTCTCTCGGGGGTGGAGGCACTGGCTATATATAGGATTAATAGCTAGGCAGACTACCCTGTGAGGCGGGAACTTAGTGGGGTGATAAGAAACAGGTGCCACACAGGCGGGCTCGATGAGAGGGGTAATCTAGCCCAGGCTTTTGTACTTTCCCACAGGCCTCGCAATCACCGCGTCTGATGACTTGACAGTGCCACGGCTCCCAACATCTCCCCCTATTTTATTTTAAATGATGGCTACGCGCATCGCAGCCCGTCCTGGATAGAGTGCAGAGGCCTATGCCCCGAACTGAGGCCCACCGTAGGCCCTTAGCGTAGACCCTGGTCGGCCGTCCCAGGGTCCACCAAGGCCCTGAGGCCCTCGTCCTTTTTTCTAGGGCCAGGAATGAACCGGACGGAACCTGGTTGCACATAGGCATGCACTCATTTCTCTCCACGAATCCCCTCGGAGAGAAATTTATCTAACAATCCAGCGGCTTTCGAGCGGAACGGGGTAGGGCCTGGCTTAGGTTGAGTCGTGGTGCTGGGGAGGCACGCTCTTACCCGTCATTGACTCACCCACCCTGCTACATGTTGTTGTCTAGGGAGGAGAATGTGGGAAGCCTGTCACTTTTAAACGCGGTCGTAGGCCATGCGAGCGAGCCATGCGTATACAAGGGTAGCACATAGGGGAGCAAGCCGTTCCAGGCCCCCAAAAAGGGATTGTCCTGCAGTTCTTTTAGGGCTCATCTTGTTGTTGGGTCTGCGGTTGGCCTCTGGTGGAACAGGCCCGATCTTCAGTCGAGGGACCCGTCGCGTCAACCTCTCTGGGACCCACACTGGCTCCCGTCCCGATTCCTGCGGAAAGACACAAACCGCGCCTTGGCTTCCTCTTTTGTATCTCTGCCCTCCTTGACGGACCCTTCTCGGGAGCTTCCTCACTGTGCCTGTTCAAACACCTCGCATACTTCTACAAGTTCTTGAGAGCTCCCCCCGTAACTACCCTCACTCTTTAGGCACGTGTGTATCATTTCCCACAATGGACGAGCAGAGACTGAAGCTCTACCCTCCCGCTCTGCTAGGGAAAGGTCTCTGCCCAACTTTTCCCAGGAGGGCAGGTTTACATGCCCTGTAGGCAGAAACCAGGGAGCAAAGCTGTCAATCTCTGCAAGGAAATTTTCTAAAGTCTTACGCCCCACCTTGAGGTCCTTGGACTTTAGGAGTCTCCGAAGGACCAACACCAAGGCTGTGTATCTTTACTTGGCATGTTTCCCATTTTTAATATATCTTCTGTTATTTTTACTTCTATGTTTATGTTTTACACTCTTTTATTACCTTAAATTCTGGTGTTATGTTTCATACTCACCGCGTGAGGCCCAAGAAACCCGCCACTTACGCGTGAGGTTGAGAGGAGTCTACAAACCCTGTAGGTGCGCGCCACCCAGGGCCCAGGCTTATCCTCTACTCACCTGTCCTGCAGCTGCAGCACTGTGTAGGAGAATGCAGTCCACCGCCGCGTCTCGGGGTTGATCAATCCCCGTGCGGGCCTCCAAATGTCGATGTCCGCTCCCGGCCGGCAGGAAAGACACACGACAAGGTCTGGCGGTGGTCAGGCTTTTCTTTATTCTCTCCTTATACAGTCTGCCCCGAAGCCTCTACCGGTCCGCTCTCCGCGGCTCCTTTTGTGCTTCAGTCTCTCTCTCTCTCGGGGGTGGAGGCACTGGCTATATATAGGATTAATAGCTAGGCAGACTACCCTGTGAGGCGGGAACTTAGTGGGGTGATAAGAAACAGGTGCCACACAGGCGGGCTCGATGAGAGGGGTAATCTAGCCCAGGCTTTTGTACTTTCCCACAGGCCTCGCAATCACCGCGTCTGATGACTTGACAGTGCCACGGCTCCCAACAGAAAGTGAGGCTTGAAGACAAGATGGACAGTAAAAAGCCAGTTCTCAAAGGACATGAAACATACATCTGGGTTATTCCAGCTGGAGTCAAGGATATGCAGTTTGGATGATTTCTTCCTACCCTGAGGCTTTGAGGCTGACCTGGGAACAACCATTGCAGGGACTGTTGTATGTTCTCTGTGCAGAAATAGCTGCCTTCACTGTTTAGAGAGAGCACAGTGAAAGAAAGGGAAGGCTGGGGAAAATGATCAGTTTCAGTGAGGGAGAGGCTGAGGATACCACCTGTGACTCTGAGTGGCACACAGAAAACACATGGGTTATCAGCCTCCTTGATGTGAAGCTCTCAGATGGAATCTGGCAGGTCAGGAGTGAACAAGAAATCATCAAGTTCAGGCCCCAGGAGAATCTACAGACGTTTATTCAAGTCTTTAATTCATGGTCAGCCACATACAGTATTTCACTAACCAGGCACTTGGAGGCTCCAATGTATAATGCCAGATATTGAAGTCACAGCTGCTACTAATCTTCTGCTTCTGGAGATGACTGCAGTTTTTAGGGTACAGGTAAAGGAGTTACATCTAACAGTTTCAATCTTTTGAGTTCATTCTATTAGTATATGTGCTATTTCTCTCTGTATATTAAAACTGTCTGCAATGCACAGAACAGCAGTTACCTTCATTGAGCAAAGATGATTTGCTGAGCTGGCCTTTTCCCAAGGCTCCCCTGATCTCCTGCTGTTCCTAAAGGTATCTGCAGAGAGGCAACACTGGAACTTCCACGAACAGAGAATGAAGGGCTCTGGGCACTCACCAGCTGACAGGTTCTTGGACTTTTACACTGGAGACAGTTGATTTTAGGAGACCTCACAGCAAGAATTGTTCCTGAAATTTCTTGTTATCCTGATCTAGGTTGACAAAGTTGAAGGAAGAAACATATTTTTGTTTCAGTTATCAGGCCTGATACCACAGTAATCACTCTGTGCTACTGAGTCACAAAAAATACTAGCAAATCACAGAGCAAGTGTACACTCTGACTGTCTCCAAGCCAAAAATAATGCAGAGGGTCACTGGGTATGAAAGTGCACTGTAGTTTAACACAATTGTGGATTTATGACTGCCACGCTCCCTGAGAAAAAATGGTATTATCATTGTGCACCTGCAGTAACTTGAGCATCTCTATGGACACCAATAGCTTAGAGTGATTACCAAGTGATTTTTAATATTCTTAGCATATTCATGATAACTGTACTATTTATCATAAAACATGGAAAACTTTCATGCACAATGGTAACTATACTAAAGAATACTTCATTCCCACTACACACACAGCACACACACACACACACACACACATGAAATATCTAAGAGGAAGTGGAAGATCTATTATCAATATTCATAAGATACAATATTAACAATATACATAAGATATCTCTGCAAATAATTATGCATGTGGCAAAATATTAGAGTACATGCTAAATAGACTATACATTGAGAAACAGGTCAAATTCAAATTTTGAAAGTTGTTCCCCAAATGTCTTTTGTAACTGAATGAACTCAGAGAAAACTCATTCTCTGCCGGTAATTCTGTGTTGACTTGGTTTGACCTAGAACAACTGGGAGCCCTGGGCACTTCAGCTGCCCTCAACCCTGCCCAGCCCCTGCATATTTGCATGTGCCCAAAGCACAGCCCACTACCCTGACATCTTCTTAAAGGCTACTCACAGGTTCACAGAAGTCAGCCTCAGTCAGGACACAGCATGGACATGAGGGTTCTCACTCAGCTGTTGGGCTCTTGGTACTCTTGCTTCCAGGTAAGGAAGGGCACACCTGGAAATTTGCTCAACCCAGTGTGGTCGGTGCTGCTCTTCAGGGAAGTCCTCTTATAAGATGATTAATTATATAGATAATTTACTTTTGTGTTTCCAATGCCAGGTACCAGATGGGACATCCAGGTGACCCATTCTCCAACTTCCCTTTCTGCAACTGTAGGAGACAGAGTTACCATCACTTGCAGCACCAGTGTGAATATTTTAGACACCTTAAATTTGTTTCAATACAAACCTGGGAAAGCTCCTGAACTGCTGATCTACGACACAGACAGTTTTGCATCTGAGGTCACAACAAGGTTCAGCAACAGTGGATTCAGAACAGATTTCACTTTCACCATCAGCAGCCTGGAGCCTGAAGATGTTGCAGCTTACTACTGCCTACCGCATTTTGAGGAGCCTCCCACAGTGATACAAGTCATGACATAAACCTTCTCGGGAAGAAGAAGTGTGAGATTGGGCTGACCCAGCTGCCATCAATTGCTGAAACCATTTCTCCTGTATAACCAGAATTTGGGGTCTTCTGAAGTGTTTTAGTAAAAGGATACAGTGAGGCTCCACTGTACCCTAGCTTTCATCCTCTCCTCACCCCACTATCACACAAGAGAATGCCCATCCTCATTTAATTAAGAAGAGATTTTTTTATATTATGGATCCCTGGGTTATTACAACAGTTAGAATTTACATAGTAAGTGGAAGTCAGTATAGATATTCCAAGAAGAGTTTGTTCTAATATAGGAAATCTGAGTCTAAACTAGTGCCATGGCTTAAGGATCCTTCTGGCAGCAGAGAGATTGATGCAAGAAACTGAAGTTGTCTCCTGCCCTCTCAGAGCACTCTGCCCTAAGGTGCCAGTTCCAAGAGGTCAGACCTGTCATGAAGCTAATGGTTGTGGACGGTGATGATCTCGTCCATCTTCAGTATCTCACTTGTGTTTCTCCATTCACCACTTCTCTCCCTGTAGAACACCCAAGTAAGAGTTGGTATTGAATTCTCCACTCTGCCCTCCAGATCTCAAAAGTGTTTGCAAATTTCATCAGTTCTTAGGAAAACACACATAAAAAAAAAAAACACAACAATTCTGAAAAATGGCCAATATTGCTTGATTCTCAAAACTTTGCTCAGTAAGGATTTGGACCCATAGTGTGTGTTTCTTCTTTACTATCAGCTAATCTTCAATCAGCACAAAAAGCTAAGACATATAATAAAGGTGAAATGAGGTACTGAATTAACATATAGCAATTATTTAAGAACAGGCTTGGGTAAATATGTGTGTGTATGTGTGTGTGTGTGTGTGTGTGTGTGTGTGTGTATTCCTTTCTTTACCTTCATCATGAAATGTCTCCTGCTGAAATGTTTTTCAGAAGCCAGAAGTAGCATGTACAATACCAAATAAAATAGCTTGTTAAAAATGTAAAATTGAAATCGGTATTCTTCATCTATAGGCAAGGGTCTACATTTTAAAAAGTTATCAAATGATCTACATAAGTCAGTAAGCTGTTTTAATAGAAATTAACCAAAATGGTTTCAACATTTATACTTTAAGGCATGTCTCTCAAGTCCTGTACCAAAATATGCTAAAAAAATCAATTTTCATACAAAAAATTTTGAACATAGCTCTAAATGCCCCTGAATTGAAAGATACAAATTAATGAGTCATTTCATACATTGATATTTTAGTCTTTTCATTCATCCCTCACTAAATGTGCCATCCACAGTAAGGGGAAATCGTTAAATTGGGAGGCAGAGATGGAGCCAATTTGACTTAGAATCTATCTCTATCTTCTCTGACTCACCAGATCTCAGATTCTGCACACCTCCAAGAATAATCAGCCCATGAGTGTTGTCTGAGACATCTTGTCCCTGAATGGGGATAGTCATCTTTATCTTCGTTCTTTCATTCTCAAGACAATGGTGACAGAGAAGATCTTAGGAAAACCTTATCAAAGCCTCTAGATTAAGCATTTTTGAGCTTGGATGTAATTGATGGACCCAGGAAACCAAGTGTTTGGTGACACATTGCCATGTGTGGTAAGAGAGAGATTCAAACTGAGAAGCTGAGCATAAAAAACATACCGTTGAATGAGACAAACAGACACGCAAGTTTAAATACCATGTGATTTCTCGCATTTGAATATCAAAATATTGAATAAAGATCAAAATAAAAGATTGATGAAAGAAATTAGGGTTATAGAGTTTTGCAGATGGGAATGAGTCCAAGTGATCCAGGGAGAGGACAGAAGGTGAGGGAAAGGGACATAAAAAGATTTGATATGAGTCTTGCATATGGATCAAACACCCACACTGAAAATAATCATGACATGTAGCAAACATGACCTAAAAAGAATAACAATAATAAAGAAAAAAAAAAAAGCGAAAGGGACTCCAGAAATGCAGAGAGAAAGTCTTTTGGCTAAGGAAATGGAAATGAAAAGAATAGAGATATGTCAAGTACATGAATTTATTCCTACAATGAAAGTGAGCTTCATGTATGGAATACGTGCCAAATTTTAAAAAAAAATAATTGATTGTAATTCAAAAAATGAAAACAAGATCTTCTTAATGGGATGAGTCTCTTTCCTTTTTTTTTTCAAGAGACCAAGATCTTAGCTGTACAGAAAGTAATAATTGCCACTGTAGAGAACTGACAAGTGGTGGGTGCCTTGTAATACCTGCTGAATTGAATCAGCATTCTGCTGAATGTGGGCAGAACCTACCTGGGGATTGTTCCCAACATAAGGAGGAGAACTGAAGATGAAGAAGCATTATTTTTTCAGTTCTTTCGGATTTAGTCAGTTGTCCTACTATCATTGGTTTTCCTGGAGGAGCTTGTCAAATTTATTTCCTGGTATGAACTTGGCTGTTCTAATTGTCAGAGATGTTCAGGACTTCACTGTTGCTGAGAGTGACTGCAATTGAATTTGGGGGACTCTGACAGTTACTTTGAGCATTGCTGCCTGGCTCTAGAGGGAAAGATGTTGGGCTGCTCAGTCTCCAGGAGAATCTTGTCACACTGGCTTCCTGATATGAACTTGGCTTTTTCATCTCCCAAGAAGCTCAGGACCTTGTCAATGAGAATGGCTGAGGTACTTTTTGGGGGACCTCTTGTCCTTACTTTGAGCTTTGCTTCCTGGCATCAGTGCAAAACCATGAGCCTACTGGTACAAATCTTTCCTAC